ACAGCAAACTGTTTAGAATGTTGGAGGCAGGACTCAGGCAAAGCAGCCAGTGGATAGGGAGACCCTCTGAATGACAGATCAGAGAGCGAACTGATTTTGGAGCGTGTGGAATGTTCTAGAGAAGTGCCACCACCATTCGGCTTTTATTTATAAGGGAGATTCATAATTGGTTCTTTGTCATATATGCATAGGGACCACGGTGGCTCAGAGGTTAAGATGCTGAGCTGCAGACCAGAAGGTCTGTAGTTCAGCAGTTCGAGACCCTAGTGCTGCGTGACAGAGTGAGCTCCTGTCTCTGGTCCCAGCTCCTGCCAACCTAGCAGTTTGAAAACAAGAAATTGTAAGTAGATAAATAGGTACCACTTCTGTGGGAAGGTAACAGTGTTCCGTGTGCCTCAGCGTTTAGTCATGCTGGCCACATGATCACGGAAATGTCTTTGGACAGCTCTGGCTCTTTGGCTTGGAACCGGAGATGAGCACTGCCCCCTAGAGTCGGATTCGACTAGCTTTCGAGCAAGGAAAACCTTTACCTTTACATACATGCATAGGATCATTTCCTTACCTTAACACTTGGAACTTGAAAGGCTTCCTTAAGAGTTTTGCTAAGAAAGGTTTTTAGTAACTGGCTTTCAGCATTGCTAATAAAAGTTTTTTTCCCTGCTCTTCCCTTCATTTGGTATCTTTTGCCACTTCAGTAGCCCATCAGTTAACATTTATTTTACCTTAAGTTTTTCCCCCCTTCTCCTTGACGGATAAATTTTCATTATTGGTTTTGCATGAAAGTCTTCTGGGCTTGTACACTGCATGACCTTTGTGGTCACTTAGTGATTACACACGCCTGCTGAGGTAATTTATTCACTTTGTTTTGGTGTGAACGTGTCCCAGGGGTCTTGTAACTGCTGTAATCACTTGACCTTAGTGACTGTTAAATGCTTTAAACACAGTTATTTCAAATTTATAATTGTTTTCATTAAAAATCCCTTATAGTAACTTAACTGACCTTGCAGTAAACACAGCATTATGAGTTTGAGGGAAGAATTAAAATTATCATGCTATAACTAGTGTCTTTTTCTCCACATATATTCTTAATATTATTGTATCACAATACACTTCGCAATCAGTTACATATAGAACATGAAATACCTTAACAACGTAATTATTGCAGAGTGACATAGTATAGTATTTTTCTTCCTGTGTTGTGTGGTAGGAGAAGTGGGAAAACCTATGAGTATGGAGAATATGTGCAATTGGGTTACTTATTCCAGTGAATTTAGAGATGTCTTGAGAGTGTAAATGTGTTGCAATAGACTGGTCCTAGCATTGTACTGATCTGAGTAATCTAGAAGGCTGCTTTTGATCCTTGGTTATGTATAGTCCTTAGTAATTTTTATGTAACCAGATCCTGTAATGTTCTCATATAGATCACTGAGCTGGAAGAAGATTACTACTGTTACTATTGTTTAAATAAATGATTAATTAATCTTGTACTGCAGATCTCTGTTCTGCTTTCCCTTTACAGTTCATTAAATTTCTGTGGGGCTGGCCAAAGACATTGTGCTGCATTGCACAATCATAAGAGTTTTATGTTGGCATCAGTGTTCCCACTAAACTGTGCTAGCGTGTGCTGGTGCACAAACTTTTGGCTCAGCACAGGGTGACAAAATCGTCGGCTGGCTCTTCCCTCCCGTTGGGTCTTCCTCTAGTGGCTGGCTCTTCCATCTCAATCCCCCCCCCCAGCCTCATTTGTTTCTGCCACAGAAAAGAGTCATGTACTGCAAATGGTTCTCATCAATAATCAAGACAGGCGAGGCAAAAACAGTGTGACCAAAATGCAGAGGCCACCAGGGGCTTGCAACGAAATTGCGCTCACAAGATTGCTGCCTTCCTATCAAAGCAATTCACTTTCCAGATAGCTCTGACTAATCGCCTGGGTGGCATTGCAGGGAGGCAGCAGGCACACTGGGGGGCTGGCCTTGTCCTGCACATGGACCCAGCCACCAGGAGGCC